ATATATGATTCAAATTCAGTTCAAAACAACAACTCCACAATGCCTCAAATCATTCATTGTAAAATAATCAGGAATGAAACAGCTAAATGATATGTTACCTGGGTGAATCAATTTGTAGTAAGCCATAAAAATCGTTCTTATTGTATTCAAGTTTTATGAATAGCCTGTAAGCAGGTAAGTGGAACTTTTCATGCAATGAAGAAAACTGAAAAACTGCAGGAAAAAGAATTCAAGAAAATAACTATCAGGACAAAGTCTTCATTTGGTGTTACCTTGAGGAGAAGCGGGTATTTGCAAATCCTCTGTATTGGAGTTAGGAGATAACCTTCAAGTGGAATGTCTGTAGTCTTTCTACCTCCCAAAAGCATGCAACTCTGCAACCAGAAAAGAATAAGAACATTGCATTTCACTCACAACATCTCAAGGTATCATGGTAATGAATAACATTTTGTAGAGCTGTTTATCTGTAGAGCCTTATACGATGATGGACTAAGAAAATATATCAAAACACATTTAATGCATAGAGAAAAAGAATATTTTATTTATTAAAATGTATAGTTTGCGTTTCTTTAATCGGACTCAAGGTTACATATAAAGCAACGCTTCCCAACTTTTCTGGCTCTGCGGACTGGCAGTGGTTGGGGGAGCAGAGAGAAGAGATGCATGCACCCACCCATTGCACAAATGGAGCATCACATGCTTGCATGCCAACTGTGCAGACTAGTTCCCAATGGGCCACAGACCAGTACCGGGCTGCAGACCAAAGGTTGGGGACCTCTGATGTACAGGGTGTCAGGGTTCCAAGTAATACCCTCAACCGAATAAGACTCTGAGGCAGGCATTCCCTCAAAGTTCCATTTTATTAGGGATGTCATATTGGCACATCTGGGAAAACCTGAATCTGAAAGCCTGCAGGTTTTCCCCACCGAAAGGAAAGTCAAAATTCTTTCCCCTGCACCCACATGTCCATCACATGGTCCAATCAATCCACTGTCCCAACTGGAGATGTTTCCCAATCACGCCTCTCCAGGTGCAGGCTGAATTGCCAGAGGAAAGGATGTTGTGGCTATATATCTCTACCCACTCCATGCAACCCCGCTCCCATTTTCCCACAGCAGGCCTGTGCACTAAATGTGGCAGCCCTGAAGATCCAAAGAGAAAGATGGCCTCCAGGGCTAACACAGGGTTCCCAGAAAATCTCCCGACCAAGCACTGCCCAAGGCTGTGGCTTCATAAGCCTTGGTATTGCAATTCAACACAGTTTTCACTAACAATTCTAAAGTCAACATAGTACAACACAAAAACATCTGGATAGCCATGTGTATTTTATCCAAATAGCCATCCCATTCACAGATAAAATGTACAGCTGAGCTGGAATGCATATTTTTAGGAATGAAATATTCCAACATTTGGGTTCTTAGCCAACATGATGGCATCTGCATATAAATACATCCATATATTTCCATTTTGAATCAATATAGACTTAGAAGACTTAGACTTAGAATAATTATACTGTCACTTTGAATGTACACTAATCGGCAAACATTAAAGTGAAATTTCATTGTATACAGCTCTCAAAGGGTTACCACCTCCAATATATCCAACATAAACATATATATACATATACATATACATATGCATATGCATACGCATATATACATATATACATACATACAGATGTGTGTGTGTGTGTGTGTGTGTGTGTGTGTGTGTGTGTGTGTGTGTGTACAGTTAATATTTCGGGTTTTTTCCGTGTAATTGTGAACATATCCCTAAAAGGGTAGAAGCGACGTTTCGACAGAATCTCATCTGCCATCATCAGGCTTACATGAGGGGTCTTTTGCAGTAACTGCCGTTACTATTTCAAATCTGGTGCTGGTAGTCTGGGATGGCTCCACCTTTTCACTCTGATTGGTTGGGAGTCCCAGTCTGTGTTTATTGGCTTGGCTTTGGGTGTATGGTCTGCAAAAGACCCCTCACATAAGCCTGATGATGGCAGATGAGATTCTGTCGAAACATCGCTTCTACCCTTTTAGGGATATGTTCACAATTACACGGGAAGAAACCCGAAATATTAACTGTACACACATATATACCCGTGAAAAGTTTTCACTGAAAACTTACATAGACAAACATATGTGTGTGTGTGTGTGTGTGTGTGTGTGTGTGTGTGTGTGTGTGTGTATATATATATATATATACACACACACACACTCACTCAAGCTTACCTTCTAGCATACACTGCTAGCATTGCAGGCCATACCCAACCTTCATCTCCATATACATGAAAATAAATCAAGCTTATTCACTTTATTTTACATTTACTCTAAATCAGAGGGTTTCAAACTCAGCTGTATCATAACTCCTTATAACGATAAATACAGATTCTACAGTGCTTCCCCTTCGTGTAATGCTGTACACTTCTGTAGCACATGGGCATCTGCAGCAGGAGAATGAGGAGGGAATGATAGTATCTGTATCATCACCCAAATGCTGCAGGTTACATATTTATGTCAGATATTAGGATGCAAAACAGGAGCATTTAAGTGATGACATTTTCCACTCATGTCATTATTTCAGCATCACTGTAATTTGTAGCAGGTGTTGCTGCTGTGGCGTTTTACAATATAATTATTTTTATTTTGTTCCCAGAAACGTCTACACCTTTCTTCATTATGTTCGCTTTCCACCTAAAGTTTTTAGGAACCACGTAGAGCACCTCTGCTTAAGACTGCACACCTCTGGGCTACGTTTTCTTTAAATTAGGGTGAAAAGGCTTGGGAACCAATGCATTCATTAATCCCTAAGTAATTTTGTAGATCAGGGGTGTCAAACTCAATTTCATTGAGGGCCGCATCAGGGTTGTGTTTGACCTCGGGGGGTTCGGGGGAGCATGGCTGGGGTGGGTGTGGACAGCTTAACGACACTCGTATTGAGGGCACCTGTGGTGGCCCGAGCGCTCTGCTAGCAAAAATGGGCTCCTGAGCTCTGTTTTCGGCCGTGATGGTTTCCTGCAACCTTCTGCCAGTGAAAAGGGAATTCGGGAATGCCGTGCGGCCCTCGCAAGCTCCGTTTTTGGCCGGGATAGCCTCCTGCAACCCTCTGCCAGTAGAAACAGAGCTTGGGGAAGCCGCCCCGGGTTCTGTTTTCACTGGCAGAGGCCTGCAAGAGGCCATTGTGGCCAAAAATGGAGCCCGGGAGGGCCGCGTATGGTCTTCCTGAGCTCCATTTTCACTGGCAGAGGCACTGCGGGTCGGTTCTTTGCTGTTTCCAGGGCAGCCACGCAGGCTAGATCTAAGCACCTTGAGTTTGACACCCCGGTTGTAGACCCACCACCACCAAACTAAAAATAATATTTTAGAATTAAAAAAATCTTACACGTTTTTGCCATTCTGACATGAAACTTGCAAGACAGAGAATACGTGTGAGAATTTAGGGCTGAAAATGCCAAAATTTTAAACTTTTGACAATTTTACAAGAATTCAGCCATTAGAAATGGATAAAAGATCATTCTTAGGTAGAATCCAGAGGTGGGCTGCTGCCGGTTTGGACCCATTCACCTGTACTGATAGTTCCAACCACTGGCTGGGCCTACCCACCCGCCCCGGTGCTATCCTCTCCTATATATCTCACTCTCTGGCTCGCTCACCCCTCTCACGCAGCCCAGCTGATTTCCACACCTCACCCGCCCTACTCACTGCGGCTGCCCGAGAAGGTGTGCTGGAAGCCGTGCGCATGAAATCACCATGTGTTTGAAGCAGCGCAGAAGGCGCACATGCTCACATTTTCAGTTCTGCACTAAACGAACCAATTGTTAAATTATGTGAAGCCAACCTCTGGTAGAATCACTATTTCAGGTAGCAAAAACATGTCAGATGTCTCTTAATTTTTTAAATTATTCTCATTTTATTGTGATATGATCATGCTGGGCATAACTAGTTTGGTGAGATAGGAAGAGAGAAATTAAGAAGAGCAGAGGAGCCATGGTGGCACAGTGATTAGAATGCAGTATTGCAGGCTAATTCTGTTGACTGCAAGCAGTTCGCTCCTAACTGGCTCAAAGTTGACTCAACCATCCATCCTTCCAAGGTCAGTCAAATGAGGACCCAGATTGTTGGGGGCAATATCTGTAAACCACTTAGAGAGGGATGTAAAGCACTGTGAAGCAGGATATAAGTCTAAGTATTATTGCTACTGCTACTGCTATATATGGAACTACCAAACCACAAGATCAGACTTCCATATAGATGCCGCAGGTAACTATTTAAAATGTTTTTAAAGAAAAACAATCTAACACAACCCCAAAATCTTCTCAGCCTATGAAATTTTGGCCAATGAAAAAGCCAGGAAGGTGGCTTCATTTTGGTAGTTTAAAGTTTGACCTAGATACTGAAGAAGCCTGTGAAATGATGAATAAGGGTATATATATATAAATTTTCTGGCAATCCAATTAATAAGTTCAGGAAATGTGCTGGAATAACAGCTGTACTCAGATTTCCTCTCAATAATTCAAGTCAAAGATGTAAATTAATACACTAGGGACAAAAGGAGTGAAAGCTTTAATTGTATTAAAGTAAGCAAGCTTGTGCCCACCGGCAACAATGCAACATAGATGTAACACATGCAGACACAGGCACAAGACAAACAAAATAGATCTGCGTTCAATGCCTATGGAGATTCTCAATCATCCAAGTCATTGCTTTTTCCAAAAGGCAACTGGACTTTCTTGCTTTTCTTTCCCATCCAAGAAGTGAAGAAGCTTCTGAATTGAAGAAGCTTCTTGGATGAGAAGCAAAACGTTTTCAAGCAAAAACTAAGAAAGCCCAATTGCCTTTTGGAAAAGCACCTTTGGGATAGGTCTGGACTAGGAGTCATAAATGTTTTTATGGGGAAACAGTAAGAGGGACCTTGTATGAGACCCTGGTAAGTTCTGATGTGAATTGAAAAGATTCTCAGTTTCCATATTTTGCATCTCATCCCATCTTCTTTTTGTCTCACAGATGGACTAATGCAATGAGCTCTACAAAGGACTGCCTGTGAAGACTACCTAGAAGCTAAATTGGTACAAAATATACCGTGTTTCCCTGAAAATAAGATCCAGTCTTATTTATTTTTTGAACCCCAAAATAAGCGTTTGGCCTTATTTTCAAGGAGGTCTTATTATTTTGGGGTGCGTGGAGCAAGATGAGGTTCCTCTTGCCGTCTTACCTGATTTCCAGCTCTGCGTTTAAATGTTTTTGGGGAGGGCTTACTTTAATGCATGCGCTCAAAAGCCCAATTGGGCTTATTATCAGGGGATGTTTTTCGGAGAAACAGGGTAGCAGTGGAGGTTGTGAGAATCGGAACCATTGAAATTGAATCCAAGTAAGATCAAAATTCAGGAAGATAATTAAGTCCTAATTTTTTAAGGAACATTTAAGTAATGAAAGCTGAATTAATGAATATACCTTAGATAAGTGCTGGATTCTGGTAATAAATTGTTCTTATTTTTTTTTTTATTATGGTCTCATTATATATATTTGTATTTGTCTCTTTTTGGTATGTATTTTAATATATAAGCTTTAATAATATTTTATGTTCAGTATGCCTTAATAAATGATTTAGCTTCAACGGACTGAAGCAGCATAGAAGCATAGTAATAAACTTAATAATGCAATCTGTTCAGTCTACACCTCCTGATTAGAGATGCCGAAACTTCCTCCCTCCCTACATGTGACAGTACAAGATGGGGCCAAGAAACAACATTTCTTCATTCTTAATCCATCCCCATGGAACAATTTACCCCCAGAGATCTGGATGGGGCAATCCCTGATGGTTTTCAAGAAAATAATTAAAACAGAATTGGTCATTAGCGCTTTTAATTGCTAGTGCTGCTGGGACTGGATGCCAAGGGAGTAGTATTATTTACAGTTTTTTAATGCAAATCTTTTCCATTGTGTTTTACCACAGTTTGGAGCATTTAAGAGCACTTAAGAGCCGAGGTGGTGCAGTGGTTAGAGTGCAGTACTTCAGGCTACTTCAGCTGACTGCTAGCTGCAGTTTAGTAGTTCAAATCTCACTGGCTCAAGGTTGACTCAGCCTTTCATCTTTCCAAGGTGGGAAAATGAAGACCCAGATTGTTGGGGGCAATATGCTGACTCTGTAAATCGCTTAGAGAGGGCTCTAAAAGCACTGTAAAGTGGTATATAAGACTAAATGCTATTGCTATTGCTATTATGACTCTTCCTTTGTTTTGAGTATTGGAGTTGGCTTGTCCATAACAAAGAAATTTATGGTACCATTGATCCTTACCAATAGGAATGCTCTCACAGGAGGGATCTTGTTCAGTTCCATCAAAAGCCGGAGTGCTTTTTCATGGTTGCTGCAATACTCCTCATATACAATGAACTTGTCTTTCTGTGAGAATGAGAAAAGTAATGTATGTTAATTAAAGCTTTCTATTATTATCGGTATCTTATTGAATTAGTTCCGAAGCAAACTGGTGTTACATGCCCAATCCTAGGGGTGCCCAGGGCTCTTGCACCGGAATGCAATGACTGCATTCTGCACCAGCTGCAGCTTCCAGATACTCTTCAAGACTAAGCCCATATAAAGCATATTGCAGTAGTCCATTTGGGCAGCAGTGGGTATGGAATGAACTACCCTTCATAACTCTACGGCTGTCTGAGTTTACGAATTCAACCATCGCAATAACCTGCCCACATTCCAATAAAATTAACTGTGCCAACAAAATCAGTAAATCAGAGGCCACAAGTCCCTGTAGGTCGATCCACATTGTGCTAGGATGCCAGTGATCTAAATCATAATGCAACCCAATTTACAGTGTAGGACTAGAACTAGGCACTTCCATAAATCTGGAACACATTTTTCCCATCCTTGTTTGTAATTTGAATTAGAACTAAGAACCTGAATCACAGGAAGAAATTACAAACAGAGGTTACAAAAAAAAAAAGAATATTTCACAAGAGAGCAGACATTTGTACCATAATCCTTCATAATCTCAATATCTGTGCTGCATGGGAAGATAGAAATCTTCTCATCGTATCTGTCAGGTTCCAAACAGAAGGAAATAAAAGGAGACAAACCTGGATGGCTGCTACTTTAGTTTAATCACTTCTTGGCACTCACTGACAATCGCAGATGAAAATCTTGTTAGGGCTACTGCCCTGTGCTTCCTACCACCATTTATCCATTAGTTATCACCATCCACCTAATCACACACGCTGTTCCCTCCCATATGACCGGAAGTTGGCTTATGTTTAATTCTTGAGTATTTACAACCAGCATCTAAATAGTTAATTCACTTGAGTATTTACAACCAGCATCTCAACAGTTAATCCACTTGTTATTTCCGGCTGGCCATGATGATGTCATCCCCCAGTTATTCCCTCCCGTCAATCCTATCAGTTCCTGGGAGGCTCGATGAAGCAGATGCTGGGCTGAAACAAGGTTTGTGCGTTCCTCCCCCCAAGAATGGCAGCTCCATGCCGACAGCAAGCTGGAGCTGACAGTTCCTATCACCCATCTCCTCCCACTTATGACTGTATGACTGCAACCTTGTTGCTGGTATCCTTAAGATTTATATTGACTGTTTCCCTATGACTATCATTAAGTGTTGTGCCTTATGATTCTTGACAAATGTATCTTTTCTTTTATGTACACCGAGAGCGTGTGGACCAAGACAAATTCCTTGTGTGTCCAATCACACTTGGCCAATAAAGAATTCTATTCTATTCTAAATTGCATCCCAATATGTCTCGAGGGCACCAGTTTGAAGATTGCTTTAACATATATCCCAATAATGGATAAATAAAGCTCCAAGGCCTGATGGAGCACACATGGGAATTTATACAAGGAAAACATTATATAAGACTTAGTTCTTTAGTATTATAGACATTAATATTACTCAGTTCTTTGCAGCTGACCTTATGCTTGGGAAATAGCACCCAGTGTTGTTTTGTTGATTTTGATTGCAGCTCTGTGACACTGGCCATATTTTTAGAGATTATATTTAGATCATGACATCTCTTGGCAAACCACAGTTCAATATATTCAATAATTATAAAGATGCCAGAGGGCTTTCATCATGTCTTACCAGCTGTCCTTCATGCACAAGACCACAAGAATGAAAGCCACGCTTTAAAATTACTTAGTGCTTTAAGTATTTAATTTTCTCTCTGGGTGACACTGAGGTTTCTTCAAAGGATGAGGAAACTATCCGTTACATAATTAGAGACACTACCCTCAGAAAACTGAACCTGCATAATCAAACACATTATGATCACTGATTAGAACTCTTTAAAAATAGATCTTTTCTTGCTCAGCAAATTCTTTCAGTATGTTACCCTGTAACTTAAGACCACCACACATATTACCACATTACTAAAGTCACTGGATGAATTCCTGCATTATACATGTGACAGTCATGTGTAATTGCAATTCTGTAGGCATCTGTAGGCAACAGGAATATGCAGCTAGCCCATTTCCTGATACAGATACACTGCATGTACTGTATAAAAGGTAAAGGTTCCCCTCGCACATATGTGCTAGTCGTTCCCGACTCTAGGGGGCGGTGCTCATCTCTGTTTCAAAGCCGAAGAGCCAGCGCTGTCCGAAGATGTCTCTGTGGTCATGTGCCAACATGACTAAATGCCAAAGGCACATGGAATGCTGTTACCTACCCACCAAGGTGGTCCCTATTTTTCTACTTGCATTTTTTATATGCTTTTGAACTGCTAGGTTGGCAGAAGCTGGGACAAGTAACGGAAGCTCACCCCGTTATGCGGCACTAGGGATTCGAAACGCTGAACTGCCGACTTTTCGATCGACAAGCTCAGCGACTTAGCCACTGAGCCACCGCATCCCTATGTACTGTATATTCAGCACTATTATTTATTATTATTTTTTATTACTGTTATTACTATTATTCTCTGTTCAAAACAATGTAAAGTCTTTAACTGGTGCCTTCATAACATTGAGTTATTCCTAGGAACCTAGGATGTCATATTCTATCAGTGTAGTACATGTGCAGATCCAAGCAATGTGGCATTCTGCAATTGAGAGATGGGAAGCCTCCACGCAGCCTGTTTTTGGCTAGCAGGGCTGCAGGAGGCCGTTCAGACCGAAAATGGGGCAGACAGAGCCGCGTGCGGCCCCTCCGTGCCCCATTCCCCCCACCAGCCTGCGGAGGAGAACTACAATGCTGATCCGGCTCTCAAAGAAATCCAGTTTGACACCCCGACTTAAAGAATCTTACATCAATTCAGATATCTCATGAAACCACTTGATTGCCAAATCCAATATATTAAATTTGCATCAAGATACACAATTTCCAAGTCTGGTCACAACCCAGCAGATGTATATTAATATATCATACTCACAAATTTTAAGAAAACATCTCCCAGTTCATGCTGAGAATGAGGTTCCGGATGTAAACGATATTCTAAAGCAGTCAGGAAGTCATTATGAACATCAAGTATATCTTCCATATTGGAAAATAAAATCTGTAACATTAAAAAAAAAAAAAAAGAAACTGGTAATAATTGCCTGTGAAAGCTTTGCAGATTCTTATCCCTCCATCCATTTGAAATAATCCTTATTGTGTTTGTTTTACATTGTTTAATATTTCATAATAAAACAATTTAGAATTTAATTGAAAAATTAGAAAACAACATGGAGTAAAGGCTATGCAAGAACTAGGAAACTTAATTAACTATGGTTGGCATATGTCTGAACAAAGATTATCCTATTGCAAAGTGTTAAGTGCTTGATAACTTAATATTTTCACTAACTGCAATGAATACCAGTCAAACTTTTGAAATGAAAAGTTCAACCCTTTGGTTTAATAACATAGTAAAAAGAAAAAAAAAGCAGTGGTAACCTCTGTGTGTGTAATAGACAAGTTAGCAGTGGGTCACAATCCTATCCCCATCCGTTTTGCATATGCACATGATGACATATCCACTATCTTGCTGCATTTCACACACACACACACACACACACATGTGTGTGTGTAAATTCCACTGTATATCTTATGACAAAACATACAGAGAGTTTTAAAAATTAAACTGAAAACATTCCAAAATGCATTTTTC